ATATACCTTATATGAAAAAAAAGTTAGAAAAAATTGAAAAAAAAAATTGAAAGGAAATGAAAATAAATTTCCAAAATTAAACCAGACAATGTTAAAATAGCAATTTTTTATCATAGTCTAAATAACAACAATCTTTTTTCAATCTCCCCGGCAAAACCAGTTTTAAAAACAATGTAGTATACTAAGCTACTAAACAACAAATGCCTGGCATTCACTAACCCTTTGCTGGTTGCTAATGGTTATTTGCATTTAGACTATTTATCTACAAACAAGTAGGTCATGTTTGCCACCATTGGTAAGCACTTTTTAAACCATGAATTTTTGGAGAAAATATTCATCATTAAACACAAGAAAACTATAATATATGTCAAAGTAATACTTAAATTTTCTCCCTCTTTATCAAGCGGCTCAACAACTTAGTAACTGGTTACGAAAAAACACTACTAGTATTATTGAACACGGTATATAAAACTATTTTTAGTGGATGTTCTGAAATAATGCCGGTATTGTAACAGCTTTTGTCGGGCAATGTATCACCTGATGGCGTGAATATCCATGGTTGTATATGTCTAGGGGTGATGCTATTGTGCAAAATTTGTTAAACGTAAATTTGAAAATAAACACATCACCTACATAGTGTGAACACTTTAAAGGAATGAATTCTGATTTTATGGAAGAGCAATTTTGAAAATTGATGCAATCCTTTTCTGCAAATGTGAAATTAATCATCCTGAATTGTCATTGTATCAAACGAGTAATTGTTGTTATCCAGTCTGAAATTCCCGGATCAAAGCAATAAAAACAGTACCGCTTCAAGATTTGTTTTTCTTAATGTACTATTCAAACATGCATAAAATTATGATATTTTAAAGTGAATATTGTGACGTTTACCATACCATATCACCAGCAATATTTCACACTAAACGTCACGGTAACAACGATAAATCATATGCGTCATAATCATGTGATTAGAATAGTAGTCATGTGATAAGAATAGGATGGAATAAAGCTTAATGTTACTTTATCTCAAAATATTAAATATGGATTTCAATCACACAGGTTTAGGCATGCACAACCGGAAAAAGCTACTCATTTCATGCATTTTGGGGGGGCCAACCATTTGAAATCATAGGAGGGTGGGTGGAAGAATTTTAGAAGTGCAATTTTGTTTGTGGCGTACGTCTTACCTGTCAATTTTTATTTTATTTTCGCGAGCATGTCATTTCTACAACACCTCGCATGTTGTTTTTTCTCTTGATTTAGCTTGCAATTTTTTTTTTTCAACACATTTTTCATTTACCCTCACGATTTCATACAGTTAAAAAAAAATGTTTGTTTTTGATCAACACTGGTTTTTAAAACCTGTATTAATGCACGACTTGGAAATGTTGATTTTAATCGGGAAATATTGCCATTAATGATCTACATCTGTATGTCCATTTTTAGGATACGACTTCAATAAAAACTATTATTATTATTATTACATTAAAATACCTGCATATATGGTACCAATACATTGTTTATGATAGGAAGGCTATAAAAAAAAGACTACTTTTAATTGGTTGGCCTTAAAATGGTGGACCAGCAACAAACCATGCTATAGCAGGTAGACCCCTATGGCCCTATTTCTGCCTTCAAATGTAGAGACTGTGTGCAAATCGTTTTGGAGAAAGGCATTTTCAAAGTTCGGTATTTTCTGCTTCTGCGTTAATTGGTGTCGTTCCCATTATTCAATTTTTTTGTCTGCACTAACTTGTATTATTTAAAACTTCAAAAGTGTATATCTCAATAACTTATAATGAAAATTGCAATGATTCAGACCCCCTCCGTCACATATATTCTTTGGTACACGCCTAATATCTAAATTTATAATACATTGTACTCACGATTTACTTGTGTTTTATGGCCGCCTTCAGTGCCCTCGTATCAAACATGAATACGTTTTTCCAGATTACGTAATCACTGTACCGTTGATTGACTATTCGCAACAAATGTTTAAGACCCAATCCGACCGCGACACTGCGAAATATCCCAGGGAGAAGAATCTGAACACCTGTGTTTACGTACCGCAGCAAGGCCGGATCTAAGGGCCAACGCGCATGCGTCATACGATGAGAACTTTCACCCCTACTTTCTCTGTCGCGACGTGACCTCAAAGGAAGTGTTCATATTTTATTGCCCTGGGAGGCTGGTAATGAAGAGGATATGACAAAAGTCCGACGAAATACATTTAAAATACAAAAACATCTATCATTAAAGAAAGCCGCTTACATCATCCCTATTTAATCTCTCACAGTTATTAGAACGATTGGCAGCCGAGCGGTTATCTATGGGGGGGTAGCTGGTACAGTTTTACGGGAAATAAAAAGGGCTTTTTACAATTTACAAGGAAAAAAAGACGTTTTTACAGTATACAGTGAAAATTGAATTTGCAATGAATTTTGTCAACTAGTCGTTTTACAGTTTCGAAAATGTAATTTCCCTGGATTATTCTTTACGACTTTTTTTTTATTTGGATGAAAATTCTTGTACGTACCGAGAAAAATTACAGTTTTTACAGTGTACGAAAACAATATTTGATTGATTACGTTGTACGTCTAGCCTGTGATCACAGAATTACGGAATTTTTTTTTTCAATTTACGTTGTACGAACAAAAAAAAAATGCAATTACAAAATAACCCTTGCCCCCCCCCCCTGTATTGGTATCTAAAATTTTTAGTTCTTATCATTTTAGCTCATCGTTTCCACAATACACTTCTGTTGTTTTAGACAAATTCAGTTTCCCAATTTCGCAAAGAAATAGATATTTTGTATTGTTAAATTGAAAATTACAGAAAATGTAAGGCAATTCTTTTGTTCCTTTTCCTTGCCGATTTAGCAATTAGCTAACCGTCTTGGCTAGCCATGAGTAGTCCATTAATAAAATGGCGTTCGAAAAGTACGCTGAAAGACCAACGTGGCAATTTTATTGTTTTATATAATAATTCAAGCTTTTAAGTCAGACCAAAATAAATAAAAAATCAACTTAAAATTGACCGCCTAGTATAAAAATATATTTACCAAAAGGGAATGACCATTTATTATTCCTGGGGGGTCGGGCAAAACAGAGGGGGGTCAGCATACTTTCCAAAGCCACAATTGGGGTGACCTTTTATCAAGGCTGAAGGGGCGAATATTTTTTCTCTTAATGATTGACACACATTCTTTTTTTACTTTACATCTTTCTTATTGGACACAACATCAATAAACTGAATATATTCAAATATAATAAAATAAAAATATACATATAGAAAGTATTTTGTTAACAGGTGTAAAATAATATATATCACAAAAATAAACATGAAATGTCAGTACATGCAATTTTCTTGTGTTTAAAATATGTGTAAATATAATTAAAAGAAGTATCCATTATTGCAAAACAGAACAGGTCTTATCACTGTCTTATTAAAGCGGACAATTCATCTACACTACCACCTAAACCATGGCAACAAACCATCACCAGGAGCAACATCCTCACTGCCACCAACACAAGTGGTATTAGACCCACTACGATCACTAGTGAAAATATCATCACTACCACCTACATCACAGCCCCACTGCTATGACCAGTAACAACATCCTTATTACACCCAAGAAAAGTGGCATTGGACCCATTACCCCCGTTACCACTATCACCTACACCAGACCTGCTGCCACTACATCATGTGGGCCCACCAACATCATCATTACCACCTACACCAACCC